TATATATATATATAATGTGTCTGTGTGTGTGTATGTTGCATATATCTAATAGAAAAAGGATTTTCTTTTTAAAAATTCGGATGAATCAATAAACAGATGAATTGATCATTAAAATAATTGTTAGTTGCAACCCTAAAGGAATGTTATTTATTTATTTTTTTTACTTCCTTACCCTTCACAACAAGAGTCGTTCCCAGTCCGACATGCTGAGCGCCAGGTGCCGGTTCTCCCCACGTCGTGGCGGCACAGAAGTAAATCCCGCTGTCGTTGGCGTTCAGGGACATAATTTGTAAAGTGGCCCCGTGTAAGATGTACTTGTGATGGTTGTGTGCCAAGTTAAGACGGCCGTGCGATCTGCGCTCAAAAGCGAACCACCTGTAGTGGAGCCTTTCGGATGAGCAGTTGGGGCGGACGCTGCACTGGATCACGGCGTCTTGTCCAAGTTCGCGCCAAATGACGCGCCTTGGCTGTAACAGGCAGCCGTCGGGTTGTGCCATTCCTGATGGAATACATGGACACATTCAAATACGGTCAGCAGAAGAGATAAGTGTGTATGTGTGTAAAGGTCAAGCCCATACCTTTTGGTGGCAAACAGGTGAGAGAAATGAGAGAAAGCCAAAACAATGGCACCATGTTGGTGGACTAACAGTGAATGATCTCATGATAGTGTGAACCAGGCGATGGAAATGGTAAATTCCACTTACTCAACACCGCTGGCTTCCTTCCTCTTTCCTCCCAGGCAGCATGTCTTTGCAACATAACTGACATGATGCTGGAACGCACTGCCCAAATGTAATGGGTAAATTCATTCACCTGTTCTTGGAAGGTAGAAGAAGGGATTGCCCAATTAACAGTCAAATATATTTTATTTCCTAATATGGAATGTGGAAAAAAAATTGCAAACAATTGTATCGCAAATCAATTTTCCCCAGTGAAATGACTAGAAATGACATTAATCTCTTCAGGCTCCTGCAAAAAAGATTTTGTAATGTAGTGTACTTTATAAAAACAAAACATAAATTTCAAATATAATGTAAAGAATCAAATGGTTTGTTCATCAGAATTCATTGTGACGGTATGGCTCCTTCTGCTGTGCACGCCTTGGCCACTTGGGGGCAATATGATACAGATACAGTACATCCAAAGAAGAGTTTCACAACTAAACTCCGGAAACTGTGCAGAGATTGGTCCTATTTTGCAAAGCATAAAGAAAATATAACTTTGAATATAGTTAGATTGTCTGTTTTGTGTTCGCTTAAAAGGTCATAACATCCCTACACTGGTGTGCTTCATTATCCCTCCTATGACATTTTGCAGTATTTGTTAGCATGACCAGTAAGCTAATTGGACTTTCCTAAGGCAAAGCTTCATGATTGTTTTAAGTACCTAATGTGTAATTCTCATTGATTTTGAAGTGAGTTGTGTTGAGTTCACAGCGGAATGACGGATCGTATCTCGACAAACGTATATATCGGCACGAGTATGACCTTTACTTGAAGACTTAAATTTGAATTGACTACATGTTAACTAATTAAGTCATGTGTATGGAATATTTATCCAACCATCCATTTTCTGATCTGCTTATCCTCACAAGAGTCACACGGCATTGCCGGAGCCTAACCCAGCTGTCTTTTGGCAGTAGGCGGGGGACACCCTGAACTGGTTGCCAGCCAATCGCAGGGCACACATAGACCAACAACCATTTGCGCTCACAATCACACCTAGGGACAGGACAATGTTGTTGTTTTTTTTCTCTAGTTCTTCGGAATGTGATTGTAATGACAGAAAAATATATTTAAAAAAAAACTTTCTGAAAAAAATATTTAATGAAACTGAAAATTCAAAAAAACTGTATCCAAAACAATAAAACCGTTTTCGAATGAAATTCGCTCCCGTACTAAAAGGGGAGATATTTTACTTTCATTTCAGTTTGACCGGTCCCTGGTCCCACCCGGGTGTCATGTCACTCACTCAGTTCCTGGGCGTCGCTTGTTGCCTTGTCAGTCAAACTTCCTGTCCAATCGCAAATCGTTTTCGTGTTGTGTTTACGCCCCCTTCCACGTCGACCTGCACACTCGCCATATTCTCAAGCCGGAGTGCACCGCGCGAGCCGTTTGCTTGTTCAGCGAAACGGTACAATTCGGGCTAGCCAGAGGTCACAAAAGGAGACTGTCGACTTTTTAGAGGAGGAAGTCAATTGAAGTTGACGTTTCGGCCGTAAACTTTGCCACCATGAACGTGTTCCGCCTGACAGGAGACCTTTCTCACTTGGCAGCCATCATCATCCTGCTCCTGAAGATATGGAAAAGCAGGTCCTGTGCAGGTGAGTTCAAACCACATTGGATCCATCTTTTATATCATGAAAAGTAGCATATTGATCAGGTGCAGGTGAAAAGGGATCACCTACTTGATTCGCTTGTTGAGCTAGCTGCTAACTAAGCTAGTGACCCACCATTCATTCATGTGAGGAAATGACTCGCACGCTCGACGTGCACAATTGATAATAACATCATCACAAAAACTGGACATTAACTTTAATCATTGTTTTAGTGATGTTAATGTACATGTACTTTATATATTGATTAATAAGCGTTGAACTCGCTGGAGTAAACAATTTTGCTAACCCGCGATTGCTACGTGGCTACTATTTTCATCTTTTTTGAAGTCGAATGTATACATAATGGCATAAGTTACAGGTCTACACTTTCTAATATTGCATCTTATGCTGCTGTTTTTTTTTTCTTTAATAACATTCTCTACACACGCCTATCGTTTGAGGTTCGATGTTCGATTTTTTTGTCTGGCGTCTGACGTGGCGCTCTCGAAGGCGCTACGGAAGTAGCTAGCAGGCTAGCCTAACACGCCACCTCGCTCTTTACGTTGTCAATAAACGAACGACGTTGATTTCTCATCAGTCAGAGACGTTCACAACAAAGTGTGCTGTTTGGTTGCACCATAACAGATAATTATTGTTGAAAATGGGCTTCTGATTTCTGACCTGACAAGTGAAAAAGTTTTGTCTAGTAACAGCGAGTAGGAGCTACTTGTCAATCTTTTTTTTTCTTTTTCCAAATTCACCATTTAGGTGGACATTTTAAAAGAGAGAACCTAAAGTCGTTTATTTTAAAGAAGTCTCACAATATATCGTCGAACATACAGCATAATTGCCCAAGTCGTTTTTCAATCTTCAAAACACCAATTTTAGAACTCACGTTGGTCTTTTTTTAAATTGGCTCTTTTTCCTTTCGCTTACTTACCCATTTTGAGATTTTTGTTTATCTATCTATCTATCTATCTATCTATCTATCTATCTATCTATACATACCTAAATAACTAAAAAATGTTTTTTCTCGTCTTCCAAAATATTGAAAAATGACCCAGACAATTAATTATGACATGTGGCCGACGATATACAAAACCCAGTGGATTTATTTATTGTGTTATTACTTTTTGGAAGGTAGGTGTCTTATCAGCATCCCTCTTCTGGTAACCCTGACCATTTTTGGCTTCAGGTGGGTCCTTTTAACAAAGGGTGACACCACGATACATGCCAACACCAGAGACACGTTAAGGCATGAAACCTCACCCTTGCTCCATTTGAAGCACCTTTTCAAAGCATGATGAGCCAAAATCAAGATCCACGAAAGGATGCACTGAAGAGTCTGAATTATGGTCATTATGACATCCCTAATTCCATGAGGTGGCACTGCTCATTAAGTGGTTTTTTGAATGGTGTTTCCAATCACTGCAGTTAACTCTTGTCTTACCATGTACATGATAGTCAACATCATTGTGCTTGTTTGCGAAGGTATCTCTGGAAAGAGTCAAATCCTCTTTGCGATTGTGTTCACGACACGCTACTTGGACCTGCTCACCTCCTTCATCTCGCTCTACAACACGTGCATGAAGGTAAGGCGCACAAACGGTCCGTTTCATATTGTTTGCAAACAATGGGCGGCAGGTAGAAAGTGACTGAGTACTGCTGATGTGAACAGGAAACAATGACAAAAAACTGTTTTGTTTCCTGGTTTCCAGCAATCTAGGCTAAGGTGTGCCAGCGTGCACTAGAGCTAATTCTACGCTTCGCCTCTCTAGGTGATCTACATCGGCTGCGCGTACGCCACCGTCTACCTGATCTACGCCAAGTTCCGGGCCACCTATGACGGCAATCACGACAGCTTCAGGGTGGAGTTCCTGGTGGTCCCTGTCGGGGGTCTGTCTGTGCTCATCAATCATGACTTTTCCCCCCTTGAGGTGTGTTTCAGTGGGAGTGCAATACAGTTTTTGTTTTTTTTAATATGTAAATATAACAACTCATCTGCAGAATAAATTGTATATTTGGGGGCGCTAATATAACACTACTTTAATATTAGACAGTGCTTTGGCCTGAACATGAAACCAGCAAATATCAGAGGATCGGTTCCCCTCCAACAATGACAATCTGAGAATAGTGAATCGCAAGTGTGCGTGGAACACATGTATCTCTATGGGTGTTATGTGTGTGTTTTCAGATCCTGTGGACGTTCTCCATCTACTTGGAGTCAGTGGCCATCCTGCCGCAGCTCTTCATGATCAGCAAGACGGGCGAGGCAGAGACCATCACCACCCACTACCTGTTCTGCCTGGGCCTGTACCGAGCCCTCTACCTCTTCAACTGGATCTGGCGCTTCTACTTCGAGGGCTTCTTTGACATGATTGCCATCGTCGCCGGCGTGGTCCAGACGGTCCTCTACTGCGACTTCTTCTACCTTTATGTCACCAAAGGTTGGTTTTCCCGCCCTTACCGCCTCCATTGTTAATAAGTGCATCACTGACAAAAAGTCACTCAGAAAATAATGACAATAATTTCCTCATACGTTATATCTTGGGGAACATACATGCCCGGAAAGACGCTGGCTGTTTGCCATTATGTTCTGAAGCGGACATTTTGTACCTTTCCAGAGTCCCTCATAGACAAACTGGAGATTTTGTCCGACAGTTATCAAATTTGATTGACATCTAGAGCCTATTCCAGGCTCATTTTGACAATTTCCAGGGGTCCTTCAAAAATGAACTTCTCCAACTGGAATATTTTTTTTAAATTCAGCCCCTGAAGCCAGTAGTCCGAGTGGACTATGTTTTGTGCCTCCATTGTTGAGGCGTCTGATTGGAGCTGTGGCCGTTGAAGTGGTCAGTGCCCGTCATGGAGGCAATCCCCAAACCCGCTGGTGGAGTCCGATGGTAAGAGATGTGATCAAGCTGAAGAAAGAGTCCTATCGGGCCTTTTTGACCTGTGGACTCCAGAGTCCGGAATAATGTGCATAAGTGCTCCTACAAAAATAACACATTACAATGTGAGCAATGTTACTCATCAACACACCGAGTGGTGTGGTTTACTGATTTTGTTCTGCCTAGGCTCTCATGCAAAAACGATTGCTCAAAGGCGCTTGGACCCCCCCGTACATTGTGTAAACTTCCAATATTTTAGCTGCTATTTACCATGCTTGGCCACGAGGTGGTACTGTGTGACAAAAAATTCAAAATGACAAGTGTAAAAATGGCAACATTGACATCTACTGGCAGAAGTACAGAACCTTTTTTTTTCACAACAGGTACAATGCAATGCATCTTTATGTTGCAGTTTCACAACAGCTGCAGCTGAAACAAATGGCTTTATAGGACAGTCAATTTGTTTTAAAGTGCAATGTATTTAATCATAAGTTAGGGACATTTTATTTAATAATTGGTTAATAATTGTCATTAAATTAGTTCTGGCTAATATCAAAAATACAGTGCATGAATTGCAGTATTTGTGAAAGTAATTTATTATTGTAATATGTTCAAACTGAAACAAGTGTGTGTAATGTTAAAATATTTGCTTTCAAAATCAAATATTTGACATAATTTACTTTTTCCACCCTTTTTATTTATTTAATTTCCCCCCACCTTATATATATATATAATGTGTCTGTGTGTGTGTATGTTGCATATATCTAATAGAAAAAGGATTTTCTTTTTAAAAATTCGGATGAATCAATAAACAGATGAATTGATCATTAAAATAATTGTTAGTTGCAACCCTAAAGGAATGTTATTTATTTATTTTTTTTACTTCCTTACCCTTCACAACAAGAGTCGTTCCCAGTCCGACATGCTGAGCGCCAGGTGCCGGTTCTCCCCACGTCGTGGCGGCACAGAAGTAAATCCCGCTGTCGTTGGCGTTCAGGGACATAATTTGTAAAGTGGCCCCGTGTAAGATGTACTTGTGATGGTTGTGTGCCAAGTTAAGACGGCCGTGCGATCTGCGCTCAAAAGCGAACCACCTGTAGTGGAGCCTTTCGGATGAGCAGTTGGGGCGGACGCTGCACTGGATCACGGCGTCTTGTCCAAGTTCGCGCCAAATGACGCGCCTTGGCTGTAACAGGCAGCCGTCGGGTTGTGCCATTCCTGATGGAATACATGGACACATTCAAATACGGTCAGCAGAAGAGATAAGTGTGTATGTGTGTAAAGGTCAAGCCCATACCTTTTGGTGGCAAACAGGTGAGAGAAATGAGAGAAAGCCAAAACAATGGCACCATGTTGGTGGACTAACAGTGAATGATCTCATGATAGTGTGAACCAGGCGATGGAAATGGTAAATTCCACTTACTCAACACCGCTGGCTTCCTTCCTCTTTCCTCCCAGGCAGCATGTCTTTGCAACATAACTGACATGATGCTGGAACGCACTGCCCAAATGTAATGGGTAAATTCATTCACCTGTTCTTGGAAGGTAGAAGAAGGGATTGCCCAATTAACAGTCAAATATATTTTATTTCCTAATCTGGAATGTGGAAAAAAAATTGCAAACAATTGTATCGCAAATCAATTTTCCCCAGTGAAATGACTAGAAATGACATTAATCTCTTCAGGCTCCTGCAAAAAAGATTTTGTAATGTAGTGTACTTTATAAAAACAAAACATAAATTTCAAATATAATGTAAAGAATCAAATGGTTTGTTCATCAGAATTCATTGTGACGGTATGGCTCCTTCTGCTGTGCACGCCTTGGCCACTTGGGGGCAATATGATACAGATACAGTACATCCAAAGAAGAGTTTCACAACTAAACTCCGGAAACTGTGCAGAGATTGGTCCTATTTTGCAAAGCATAAAGAAAATATAACTTTGAATATAGTTAGATTGTCTGTTTTGTGTTCGCTTAAAAGGTCATAACATCCCTACACTGGTGTGCTTCATTATCCCTCCTATGACATTTTGCAGTATTTGTTAGCATGACCAGTAAGCTAATTGGACTTTCCTAAGGCAAAGCTTCATGATTGTTTTAAGTACCTAATGTGTAATTCTCATTGATTTTGAAGTGAGTTGTGTTGAGTTCACAGCGGAATGACGGATCGTATCTCGACAAACGTATATATCGGCACGAGTATGACCTTTACTTGAAGACTTAAATTTGAATTGACTACATGTTAACTAATTAAGTCATGTGTATGGAATATTTATCCAACCATCCATTTTCTGATCTGCTTATCCTCACAAGAGTCACACGGCATTGCCGGAGCCTAACCCAGCTGTCTTTTGGCAGTAGGCGGGGGACACCCTGAACTGGTTGCCAGCCAATCGCAGGGCACACATAGACCAACAACCATTTGCGCTCACAATCACACCTAGGGACAGGACAATGTTGTTGTTTTTTTTCTCTAGTTCTTCGGAATGTGATTGTAATGACAGAAAAATATATTTAAAAAAAAACTTTCTGAAAAAAATATTTAATGAAACTGAAAATTCAAAAAAACTGTATCCAAAACAATAAAACCGTTTTCGAATGAAATTCGCTCCCGTACTAAAAGGGGAGATATTTTACTTTCATTTCAGTTTGACCGGTCCCTGGTCCCACCCGGGTGTCATGTCACTCACTCAGTTCCTGGGCGTCGCTTGTTGCCTTGTCAGTCAAACTTCCTGTCCAATCGCAAATCGTTTTCGTGTTGTGTTTACGCCCCCTTCCACGTCGACCTGCACACTCGCCATATTCTCAAGCCGGAGTGCACCGCGCGAGCCGTTTGCTTGTTCAGCGAAACGGTACAATTCGGGCTAGCCAGAGGTCACAAAAGGAGACTGTCGACTTTTTAGAGGAGGAAGTCAATTGAAGTTGACGTTTCGGCCGTAAACTTTGCCACCATGAACGTGTTCCGCCTGACAGGAGACCTTTCTCACTTGGCAGCCATCATCATCCTGCTCCTGAAGATATGGAAAAGCAGGTCCTGTGCAGGTGAGTTCAAACCACATTGGATCCATCTTTTATATCATGAAAAGTAGCATATTGATCAGGTGCAGGTGAAAAGGGATCACCTACTTGATTCGCTTGTTGAGCTAGCTGCTAACTAAGCTAGTGACCCACCATTCATTCATGTGAGGAAATGACTCGCACGCTCGACGTGCACAATTGATAATAACATCATCACAAAAACTGGACATTAACTTTAATCATTGTTTTAGTGATGTTAATGTACATGTACTTTATATATTGATTAATAAGCGTTGAACTCGCTGGAGTAAACAATTTTGCTAACCCGCGATTGCTACGTGGCTACTATTTTCATCTTTTTTGAAGTCGAATGTATACATAATGGCATAAGTTACAGGTCTACACTTTCTAATATTGCATCTTATGCTGCTGTTTTTTTTTTCTTTAATAACATTCTCTACACACGCCTATCGTTTGAGGTTCGATGTTCGATTTTTTTGTCTGGCGTCTGACGTGGCGCTCTCGAAGGCGCTACGGAAGTAGCTAGCAGGCTAGCCTAACACGCCACCTCGCTCTTTACGTTGTCAATAAACGAACGACGTTGATTTCTCATCAGTCAGAGACGTTCACAACAAAGTGTGCTGTTTGGTTGCACCATAACAGATAATTATTGTTGAAAATGGGCTTCTGATTTCTGACCTGACAAGTGAAAAAGTTTTGTCTAGTAACAGCGAGTAGGAGCTACTTGTCAATCTTTTTTTTTCTTTTTCCAAATTCACCATTTAGGTGGACATTTTAAAAGAGAGAACCTAAAGTCGTTTATTTTAAAGAAGTCTCACAATATATCGTCGAACATACAGCATAATTGCCCAAGTCGTTTTTCAATGTTCAATACACCCTATTTTAGAACGCACGTTGGTCTGTTTTTAAATTGGCTCTTTTTCCTTTCGCTTACTTACCCATTTTGAGATTTTTGTTTATCTATCTATCTATCTATCTATCTATCTATCTATCTATCTATCTATCTATCTATCTATCTATCTATCTATCTATCTATAAGATACGTACGTACAATAACAAAAAAATGTTTTTTCTTGTCTTCCAAAATATTGAAAAATGACCCAGGCAATTAATTATGACGTGGCAGACGATATACAAAACCCAGTGGATGTATTTATTGTTACTCCTTTTTGGAAGGTAGGTGTCTTATCAGCGTCCCTCTTCTGGTAACCCTGAACATTTTTTGCTTCAGGTGGGTCCTTTTAACAAAGGGTGCCACCACGATACATGCCAACACCAGATAGAACCTAAAGTCGTTTATTTTAAAGAAGTCTCACACAATATATCGTCGGACATACAGCATAATTGCCCAAGTCGTTTTTCAATGTTCAATACACCAATTTTAGAACTCACATTGGTCTTTTTTTAAATTGTGTCTTTTTCCTTTCGCTTCCTTACCCATTTTGAGATTTTTGTTTATCTATCTATCTATCTATCTATCTATCTATCTATCTATCTATCTATCTATACATACCTAAATAACTAAAAAATGTTTTTTCTCGTCTTCCAAAATATTGAAAAATGACCCAGACAATTAATTATGACATGTGGCCGACGATATACAAAACCCAGTGGATTTATTTATTGTGTTATTACTTTTTGGAAGGTAGGTGTCTTATCAGCATCCCTCTTCTGGTAACCCTGACCATTTTTGGCTTCAGGTGGGTCCTTTTAACAAAGGGTGACACCACGATACATGCCAACACCAGAGACACGTTAAGGCATGAAACCTCACCCTTGCTCCATTTGAAGCCCCTTTTCAAAGCATGATAAGCTAAAATTAAGATCCACGAAAGGATGCACTTAGGAGTCTGGACTGTGGTCATTATTTCTATCTATCTATCTATCTATCTATCTATACATACCTAAATAACTAAAAAATGTTTTTTCTCGTCTTCCAAAATATTGAAAAATGACCCAGACAATTAATTATGACATGTGGCCGACGATATACAAAACCCAGTGGATTTATTTATTGTGTTATTACTTTTTGGAAGGTAGGTGTCTTATCAGCATCCCTCTTCTGGTAACCCTGACCATTTTTGGCTTCAGGTGGGTCCTTTTAACAAAGGGTGACACCACGATACATGCCAACACCAGAGACACGTTAAGGCATGAAACCTCACCCTTGCTCCATTTGAAGCACCTTTTCAAAGCATGATGAGCCAAAATCAAGATCCACGAAAGGATGCACTGAAGAGTCTGAATTATGGTCATTATGACATCCCTAATTCCATGAGGTGGCACTGCTCATGAAGTGTTTTTTTGAATGATGTTTCCAATCACTGCAGTTAACTCTTGTCTTACCATGTACATGATAGTCAACATCATTGTGCTTGTTTGCGAAGGTATCTCTGGAAAGAGTCAAATCCTCTTTGCGATTGTGTTCACGACACGCTACTTGGACCTGCTCACCTCCTTCATCTCGCTCTACAACACGTGCATGAAGGTAAGGCGCACAAACGGTCCGTTTCATATTGTTTGCAAACAATGGGCGGCAGGTAGAAAGTGACTGAGTACTGCTGATGTGAACAGGAAACAATGACAAAAAACTGTTTTGTTTCCTGGTTTCCAGCAATCTAGGCTAAGGTGTGCCAGCGTGCACTAGAGCTAATTCTACGCTTCGCCTCTCTAGGTGATCTACATCGGCTGCGCGTACGCCACCGTCTACCTGATCTACGCCAAGTTCCGGGCCACCTATGACGGCAATCACGACAGCTTCAGGGTGGAGTTCCTGGTGGTCCCTGTCGGGGGTCTGTCTGTGCTCATCAATCATGACTTTTCCCCCCTTGAGGTGTGTTTCAGTGGGAGTGCAATACAGTTTTTGTTTTTTTTAATATGTAAATATAACAACTCATCTGCAGAATAAATTGTATATTTGGGGGCGCTAATATAACACTACTTTAATATTAGACAGTGCTTTGGCCTGAACATGAAACCAGCAAATATCAGAGGATCGGTTCCCCTCCAACAATGACAATCTGAGAATAGTGAATCGCAAGTGTGCGTGGAACACATGTATCTCTATGGGTGTTATGTGTGTGTTTTCAGATCCTGTGGACGTTCTCCATCTACTTGGAGTCAGTGGCCATCCTGCCGCAGCTCTTCATGATCAGCAAGACGGGCGAGGCAGAGACCATCACCACCCACTACCTGTTCTGCCTGGGCCTGTACCGAGCCCTCTACCTCTTCAACTGGATCTGGCGCTTCTACTTCGAGGGCTTCTTTGACATGATCGCCATCGTCGCCGGCGTGGTCCAGACGGTCCTCTACTGCGACTTCTTCTACCTTTATGTCACCAAAGGTTGGTTTTCCCGCCCTTACCGCCTCCATTGTTAATAAGTGCATCACTGACAAAAAGTCACTCAGAAAATAATGACAATAATTTCCTCATACGTTATATCTTGGGGAACATACAGCCTGTTGGGGGGAAAAAAAGTCTTATGATAAGCGGTCATAATATTTCCTGATTAAGTCACTCAGAAAATAATGACAATAATTTCCTCATACGTTATATCTTGGGGAACATACAGCCTGTTGGGGGGAAAAAAAGTCTTATGATAAGCGGTCATAATATTTCCTGATTATTTCTTGGGGGGGGCAATTTTACATCATTGAATTTGCGATTTTAAGAAACAAATTGTCAACCTTTTAAAATAATGGCCTAGTTCCATGTTTTGACACCCCCCAATTTTTTTTATTTTATTTTTTTTTTTGCCTTAACATCTCCTCATGATGATTTGCCACCGCTGCTAAAATCAACTCCATCCTCAGTTAAACGGGTCATTCAATTCAGCTCCTTAAAAGAAAATATTAATAAATACAATATAATCAGCAATTGGATCTTTTTTTTTTTGTTTTGTTTTCTGAAAAAAACACATGGGCCATTGTTTTTGGAAGGTGACTTTTTAAAAAAAAAAACTAGAAAAAAATTCTGAAAAAAACACATGGGCCATTATTTTTGGAAGGTGACTTTAAAAAAAAAAAAAAAAAAAAACTAGAAAAAAAAGACTAAATAGTATGAGATTAAAATGTTATGGAACTAAACCGGTACCATAATCTTCTTCATTGAAGTAATTACAAGATGATAAAGTCTGAAGGAAAAATGTGGAGTATTTTGAGAGTAAAATGAAAAAAGAAATAAAGGGGCCATTACAAAGTAATTTTTACAAGAACAAATTGTAAAAAAAAATATGCGATTGAAACAATAATTTTAAAGCATCAACATCAAAGTATTACAAGATTAGAGAAGTTGTCATTTTACAAGAAAAGAGTCTGAATGTCATGAGACTGAAGTGCTACTTCTAACATTTATACATAAATATTTTTTGTAATAAATTCAACTCAAAATCTGAATAATCTGAATAAACTTTTAATCTCAAAATAAATATTTATTTGCACTATTGTGCAAGTTGCCACATTTTCTTGGGAGTTTTTACATCTTTATATGTTGGTTAAAATTAGAAAAATATAATTTAGGTTCAACCATTTTGACATACTTTGCACTCTTGATACTACAGCATTATTCACTTTATTTATAAAAAGATCCAATTTGACTGTCCAATACAACTAATTAACTCTTGAAATATTATGTCGTCCTGTAAAAAAAGAAAAAAGACTGCATTTTTTGCATAACCTATCTTAATATTTTTGTACATTCTGATTTGTTTGTTTTCTATGAGTGAGCTTGAGCTTGCGTTCTACAAAATGGTGACCCAAAATGGATGACACATTTTGTGTCAGGGTTCAAGGGACAGTTTTAAAATGTGTTGATTTTTCACAGTTCATGATTTAAAAGAAAAAAACAAAACAAAACACAATTGATTTAAATAATATGCAAATAAATATATATTCTATCTCATCAATGTCATTAAAAAATGTAATTCCCTGTGAAGTAATGGCGAAATATATTACATAGGGCTCATTTTAAATTAAAGGGTGCGGCCATGTTTTGCCGCCATCTTTCTGCTACGGATAACCGAAGGTGACAAACTTTAGCCAATCTGTTTCCTCAACATATGACGACAGCACGTGTAACAAATGCCATGACTTTACTGCTTCTCATGAGGAACAAAGGGAAGTCGTTTGCCATCCGCCTTTGCTTGCACCTCCGCAGAATTTGGTGGTAGAGACATGCCAAGTGTCATTTCTCAGCGGCACGTGCGCCTGCTTCAAAATGCAAGCGCTTCCAGTTTACGGTGGTGCATTCTATCAGTTCACCGCTAGAGGACGCTAAATTCCACCCTATCTTTTAAGGATCATTTGTCATTTTAGTGAGGAGGGAGAATAAGTCCCCAAAGTTTTGTCGGAGTTGCGCCGTGGCGGATCCAGCGTGTCAGCAGGTCGAGGTTCTTGTGTGGTCAGGATTTTCGGCACAGACTGACCTCTGTTCTTCTGAAAAACCACCGACTGCAGATGCCACAAAGCAAACGTTGTGTGTGCAAGAGGCGTAATTGATGAAAAGGGAATTGGCGTGTCCAAATCCAATCGCTCCCAACTGAGACGTTCGTATTTCTGTCGGCCCGGTGACGTCAAGAAAGAATTTGCTGTATCATTATATATATATATAATGTGTCTGTGTGTGTGTATGTTGCATATATCTAATAGAAAAAGGATTTTCTTTTTAAAAATTCGGATGAATCAATAAACAGATGAATTGATCATTAAAATAATTGTTAGTTGCAACCCTAAAGGAATGTTATTTATTTATTTTTTTTACTTCCTTACCCTTCACAACAAGAGTCGTTCCCAGTCCGACATGCTGAGCGCCAGGTGCCGGTTCTCCCCACGTCGTGGCGGCACAGAAGTAAATCCCGCTGTCGTTGGCGTTCAGGGACATAATTTGTAAAGTGGCCCCGTGTAAGATGTACTTGTGATGGTTGTGTGCCAAGTTAAGACGGCCGTGCGATCTGCGCTCAAAAGCGAACCACCTGTAGTGGAGCCTTTCGGATGAGCAGTTGGGGCGGACGCTGCACTGGATCACGGCGTCTTGTCCAAGTTCGCGCCAAATGACGCGCCTTGGCTGTAACAGGCAGCCGTCGGGTTGTGCCATTCCTGATGGAATACATGGACACATTCAAATACGGTCAGCAGAAGAGATAAGTGTGTATGTGTGTAAAGGTCAAGCCCATACCTTTTGGTGGCAAACAGGTGAGAGAAATGAGAGAAAGCCAAAACAATGGCACCATGTTGGTGGACTAACAGTGAATGATCTCATGATAGTGTGAACCAGGCGATGGAAATGGTAAATTCCACTTACTCAACACCGCTGGCTTCCTTCCTCTTTCCTCCCAGGCAGCATGTCTTTGCAACATAACTGACATGATGCTGGAACGCACTGCCCAAATGTAATGGGTAAATTCATTCACCTGTTCTTGGAAGGTAGAAGAAGGGATTGCCCAATTAACAGTCAAATATATTTTATTTCCTAATCTGGAATGTGGAAAAAAAATTGCAAACAATTGTATCGCAAATCAATTTTCCCCAGTGAAATGACTAGAAATGACATTAATCTCTTCAGGCTCCTGCAAAAAAGATTTTGTAATGTAGTGTACTTTATAAAAACAAAACATAAATTTCAAATATAATGTAAAGAATCAAATGGTTTGTTCATCAGAATTCATTGTGACGGTATGGCTCCTTCTGCTGTGCACGCCTTGGCCACTTGGGGGCAATATGATACAGATACAGTACATCCAAAGAAGAGTTTCACAACTAAACTCCGGAAACTGTGCAGAGATTGGTCCTATTTTGCAAAGCATAAAGAAAATATAACTTTGAATATAGTTAGATTGTCTGTTTTGTGTTCGCTTAAAAGGTCATAACATCCCTACACTGGTGTGCTTCATTATCCCTCCTATGACATTTTGCAGTATTTGTTAGCATGACCAGTAAGCTAATTGGACTTTCCTAAGGCAAAGCTTCATGATTGTTTTAAGTACCTAATGTGTAATTCTCATTGATTTTGAAGTGAGTTGTGTTGAGTTCACAGCGGAATGACGGATCGTATCTCGACAAACGTATATATCGGCACGAGTATGACCTTTACTTGAAGACTTAAATTTGAATTGACTACATGTTAACTAATTAAGTCATGTGTATGGAATATTTATCCAACCATCCATTTTCTGATCTGCTTATCCTCACAAGAGTCACACGGCATTGCCGGAGCCTAACCCAGCTGTCTTTTGGCAGTAGGCGGGGGACACCCTGAACTGGTTGCCAGCCAATCGCAGGGCACACATAGACCAACAACCATTTGCGCTCACAATCACACCTAGGGACAGGACAATGTTGTTGTTTTTTTTCTCTAGTTCTTCGGAATGTGATTGTAATGACAGAAAAATATATTTAAAAAAAAACTTTCTGAAAAAAATATTTAATGAAACTGAAAATTCAAAAAAACTGTATCCAAAACAATAAAACCGTTTTCGAATGAAATTCGCTCCCGTACTAAAAGGGGAGATATTTTACTTTCATTTCAGTTTGACCGGTCCCTGGTCCCACCCGGGTGTCATGTCACTCACTCAGTTCCTGGGCGTCGCTTGTTGCCTTGTCAGTCAAACTTCCTGTCCAATCGCAAATCGTTTTCGTGTTGTGTTTACGCCCCCTTCCACGTCGACCTGCACACTCGCCATATTCTCAAGCCGGAGTGCACCGCGCGAGCCGTTTGCTTGTTCAGCGAAACGGTACAATTCGGGCTAGCCAGAGGTCACAAAAGGAGACTGTCGACTTTTTAGAGGAGGAAGTCAATTGAAGTTGACGTTTCGGCCGTAAACTTTGCCACCATGAACGTGTTCCGCCTGACAGGAGACCTTTCTCACTTGGCAGCCATCATCATCCTGCTCCTGAAGATATGGAAAAGCAGGTCCTGTGCAGGTGAGTTCAAACCACATTGGATCCATCTTTTATATCATGAAAAGTAGCATATTGATCAGGTGCAGGTGAAAAGGGATCACCTACTTGATTCGCTTGTTGAGCTAGCTGCTAACTAAGCTAGTGACCCACCATTCATTCATGTGAGGAAATGACTCGCACGCTCGACGTGCACAATTGATAATAACATCATCACAAAAACTGGACATTAACTTTAATCATTGTTTTAGTGATGTTAATGTACATGTACTTTATATATTGATTAATAAGCGTTGAACTCGCTGGAGTAAACAATTTTGCTAACCCGCGATTGCTACGTGGCTACTATTTTCATCTTTTTTGAAGTCGAATGTATACATAATGGCATAAGTTACAGGTCTACACTTTCTAATATTGCATCTTATGCTGCTGTTTTTTTTTTCTTTAATAACATTCTCTACACACGCCTATCGTTTGAGGTTCGATGTTCGATTTTTTTGTCTGGCGTCTGACGTGGCGCTCTCGAAGGCGCTACGGAAGTAGCTAGCAGGCTAGCCTAACACGCCACCTCGCTCTTTACGTTGTCAATAAACGAACGACGTTGATTTCTCATCAGTCAGAGACGTTCACAACAAAGTGTGCTGTTTGGTTGCACCATAACAGATAATTATTGTTGAAAATGGGCTTCTGATTTCTGACCTGACAAGTGAAAAAGTTTTGTCTAGTAACAGCGAGTAGGAGCTACTTGTCAATCTTTTTTTTTCTTTTTCCAAATTCACCATTTAGGTGGACATTTTAAAAGAGAGAACCTAAAGTCGTTTATTTTAAAGAAGTCTCACACAATATATCGTCGGACATACAGCATAATTGCCCAAGTCGTTTTTCAATGTTCAATACACCAATTTTAGAACTCACATTGGTCTTTTTTTAAATTGTGTCTTTTTCCTTTCGCTTCCTTACCCATTTTGAGATTTTTGTTTATCTATCTATCTATCTATCTATCTATCTATCTATCTATCTATCTATCTATCTATCTATCTATCTATCTATCTATCTATCTATCTATCTATCTATCTATACATACCTAAATAACTAAAAAATGTTTTTTCTCGTCTTCCAAAATATTGAAAAATGACCCAGACAATTAATTATGACATGTGGCCGACGATATACAAAACCCAGTGGATTTATTTATTGTGTTATTACTTTTTGGAAGGTAGGTGTCTTATCAGCATCCCTCTTCTGGTAACCCTGACCATTTTTGGCTTCAGGTGGGTCCTTTTAACAAAGGGTGACACCACGATACATGCCAACACCAGAGACACGTTAAGGCATGAAACCTCACCCTTGCTCCATTTGAAGCACCTTTTCAAAGCATGATGAGCCAAAATCAAGATCCACGAAAGGATGCACTGAAGAGTCTGAATTATGGTCATTATGACATCCCTAATTCCATGAGGTGGCACTGCTCATGAAGTGTTTTTTTGAATGGTGTTTCCAATCACTGCAGTTAACTCTTGTCTTACCATGTACATGATAGTCAACATCATTGTGCTTGTTTGCGAAGGTATCTCTGGAAAGAGTCAAATCCTCTTTGCGATTGTGTTCACGACACGCTACTTGGACCTGCTCACCTCCTTCATCTCGCTCTACAACACGTGCATGAAGGTAAGGCGCACAAACGGTCCGTTTCATATTGTTTGCAAACAATGGGCGGCAGGTAGAAAGTGACTGAGTACTGCTGATGTGAACAGGAAACAATGACAAAAAACTGTTTTGTTTCCTGGTTTCCAGCAATCTAGGCTAAGGTGTGCCAGCGTGCACTAGAGCTAATTCTACGCTTCGCCTCTCTAGGTGATCTACATCGGCTGCGCGTACGCCACCGTCTACCTGATCTACGCCAAGTTCCGGGCCACCTATGACGGCAATCACGACAGCTTCAGGGTGGAGTTCCTGGTGGTCCCTGTCGGGGGTCTGTCTGTGCTCATCAATCATGACTTTTCCCCCCTTGAGGTGTGTTTCAGTGGGAGTGCAATACAGTTTTTGTTTTTTTTAATATGTAAATATAACAACTCATCTGCAGAATAAATTGTATATTTGGGGGCGCTAATATAACACTACTTTAATATTAGACAGTGCTTTGGCCGGCCCTCTTCCTCTTCAACTGGAGCGGGCGCTTCTACTTCGAGGGCTTCTTTGACATGATCGCCATCGTCGCCGGCGTGGTCCAGACGGTCCTCTACTGCGACTTCTTCTACCTTTATGTCACCAAAGGTTGGTTTTCCCGCCCTTACCGCCTCCATTGTTAATAAGTGCATCACTGACAAAAAGTCACTCAGAAAATAATGACAATAATTTCCTCATACGTTATATCTTGGGGAACATGCAGCCTGTTGGTGGAAAAAAAAGTCTTATGATAAGCGGTCATAATATTTCCTGATTATTTCTTGAGGGGGGCAATTTTACATAATTGAATTTGCGATTTTAAGAAACAAATTGTCAACTTTTTAAAATAATGGCCTAGTTCCATGTTTTGACACCCCCAATTTTTTTTTATTTTATTTTTTTTTTTGCCTTAACATCTCCTCATGATGATTTGCCACCGCTGCTAAAATCAACTCCATCCTCAGTTAAACGGGTCATTCAATTCAGCTCCTTAAAAGAAAATATTAATAAATACAATATAATCAGCAATTGGATCTTTTTTTTTTTGTTTTGTTTTCTGAAAAAAACACATGGGCCATTGTTTTTGGAAGGTGACTTTTTAAAAAAAAAAACTAGAAAAAAAGACTAAATAGTATGAGATTAAAATGTTATGGAACTAAACCGGTACCATAATCTTCTTCATTGAAGTAATTACAAGATGATAAAGTCTGAAGGAAAAATGTGGAGTATTTTGAGAGTAAAATGAAAAAAGAAATAAAGGGGCCATTACAAAGTAATTTTTACAAGAACAAATTGTAAAAAAAAATATGCGATTGAAACAATAATTTTAAAGCATCAACATCAAAGTATTACAAGATTAGAGAAGTTGTCATTTTACAAGAAAAGAGTCTGAATGTCATGAGACTGAAGTGCTACTTCTAACATTTATACATAAATATTTTTTGTAATAAATTCAACTCAAAATCTGAATAAACTTTTAATCTCAAAATAAATATTTATTTGCACTATTGTGCAAGTTGCCACATTTTCTTGGGAGTTTTTACATCTTTATATGTTGGTTAAAATTAGAAAAATATAATTTAGGTTCAACCATTTTGACATACTTTGCACTCTTGATACTACAGCATTATTCACTTTATTTATAAAAAGATCCAATTTGACTGTCCAATACAACTAATTAACTCTTGAAATATTATGTCGTCCTGTAAAAAAAGAAAAAAGACTGCATTTTTTGCATAACCTATCTTAATATTTTTGTACATTCTGATTTGTTTGTGCATAACCTATCTTAATATTTTTGTACATTCTGATTCGTTTGTTTTCCATGAGTGAGCTTGAGCTTGCGTTCTACAAAATGGTGACCCAAAATGGATGACACATTTTGTGTCAGGGTTCAAGGGACAGTTTTAAAATGTGTTGATTTTTCACAGTTCATGATTTAAAAGAAAAAAACAAAACAAAACACAATTGATTTCAATAATATGCAAATAAATATATATTCTATCTCATCAATGTCATTAAAAAAAATGTAATTCCCGGTGAAGCAATGGCGAAATATATTACATAGGCTCATTTTAAATTAAAGGATGCGGCCATGTTTTGCCGCCATCTTTCTGCTACGGATAATCGAAGGAGACAAACTTTAGCCAATCTGTTTCCTCAACATGTTGACGACAGTCGTTCTACAAAATGGTGACCCAAAATGGATGACACATTTTGTGTCAGGGTTCAAGGGACAGTTTTAAAATGTGTTGATTTTTCACAGTTCATGATTTAAAAGAAAAAAACAAAACAAAACACAATTGATTTCAATAATATGCAAATAAATATATATTCTATCTCATCAATGTCATTAAAAAATGTAATTCCCTGTGAAGTAATGGCGAAATATATTACATAGGGCTCATTTTAAATTAAAGGGTGCGGCCATGTTTTGCCGCCATCTTTCTGCTACGGATAACCGAAGGTGACAAACTTTAGCCAATCTGTTTCCTCAACATATGACGACAGCACGTGTAACAAATGCCATGACTTTACTGCTTCTCATGAGGAACATAGGGAAGTCGTTTGCGATCCGCCTTTGCTTGCACCTCCGCAGAATTTGGTGGTAGAGACATGCCAAGTGTCGTTTCTCAGCGCCACGTGCGCCTGCTTCAAAATGCAAGCGCTTCCAGTTTACGGTGGTGCATTCTATCAGTTCACCGCTAGAGGATGCTAAATTCCACCCTATCTTTTAAGGATCATTTGTCATTTTAGTGAGGAGGGAGAATAAGTCCCCAAAGTTTTGTCGGAGTTGCGCCGTGGCGGATCCAGCGTGTCAGCAGGTCGAGGTTCTTGTGTGGTCAGGATTTTCGGCACAGACTGACCTCTGTTCTTCTGAAAAACCACCGACTGCAGATGCCACAAAGCAAACGTTGTGTGTGCAAGAGGCGTAATTGATGAAAAGGGAATTGGCGTGTCCAAATCCAATCGCTCCCAACTGAGACGTTCGTATTTCTGTCGGCCCGGTGACGTCAAGAAAGAATTTGCTGTATCATTTCATAGAAATCATTTCATAGAAATGTGACATTTCCCACCAAAATGCTTCTCACGTAGAATGCAAAGACATACTGGAACTTGCAATTCTTTGCCAGGAGCACGCGAAAAAGTAAAATGCAATAGAAAAACGATGAAGTCTAGGAAACACACAAATCAAGTCATAATATGATCATAATTTTAACCGAAAAGGGTTAAAAATTCTTTTTTATTTACATTTTTAAATATTGCAACGTGTCAAAGTAAAGAATAGTCGAATATTAAACGGATATGAGAAAATAATGTCATGAAAAATAAATTGGAATTTGAAGTGTAAATATTAAGCGTTCCAAAAATGTAGTTGTAATGATGTTTCGAAAAAAAAAATGTAATTTCCGACTTTGAATCTAGTATTATTGTGACACGTTTTTGGGGTGACATTAGGACTTTTTCTGCAACATGACAACTTGATTTGAAAAATGTTGTAGTAATATGCGTAGTGGCGCACTGATACCAGGATTGTTCTTGGTACTTGGATTAAAAAAAAAAAAAAGCTCTGATACTAAACCAAAAACTCGTGATCTGGGTCACTTGGTTTCAAACCTCTGTATAGTTTCATGTGATCACAAGAAAATCATCGCAACCTTTCCCAAAATGCTTCTTTGAATAATTCGTCTCCCGCTTGCATACTTTGTGTCTTGCTTTCAGTGTTGAAAGGCAAGAAGCTCAGCCTTCCGGCGTAAGACCCACGCGGAGTCCCCGTCAGCGGACCTGACCCGCCTGCGCCGAGATAACACCTCACGGCGCGGCGAGTCGACCGCCATTAAGAGGGGGAAAAAAAACAAAACAAAACAAACACTTGAGAGTCTTCTTGCTGGCCGACGGCCGGCGGCGCACGGCAACCAACGCCGGAGCTGAACAAACGTCGCTCCAACAAGTTCACCATCACATTTGTGTGTTCAAAGTTCTTGCCTTAAACTTCGTTTTCATTGCTGGCCCAGTAGGAGAAAATGCTTTTTTTTTTCTCCTCGCTCTTGCTCTTTCTTTCTCTCTCTCAACACGTGAGGTGCATACACTTTATTTTTGCCATGTCCATTTTATTTTTTTTTTAACAAAACTCACAAATAGGGCGACTCTCGGTAAGAAAATGCACAAATGTACAGTCTTACTAAAGCAAAAACAAACAAAAAAAGTGTACGAGTGCCTCATTGACAACCACATCCTCCTGCTCACCGTATTTTCCTTTTTTTCTCTCTCTTTTGGTATGCATATTAGTTCATACTTTTCTCCTCTTTGACAACTATTTTAAAGCCCAACAAATAGGTTTCCAATTGAAAGAAAAGTCCAAATCTTTTTTAGGAGGACAGAGTTAAGAGTTGGCTAAATGCCAGGCATCGTGTTGTTTTCGTTGTCACCACTTTTCTTTGTCTGAATTGCGATCACGGTGTTTTGAAAGTGTCAAATTATCTCATCACTCTGATGAACAGCTGAAGAGAAACGCTGTCAAAATGGAATTGCAGTTGGCTACTCCTCCAGGGTTGGGATGCTTTTTGAATTATTACTTTTTAAAATTTTCTTTTGCATGATATCACCTCCATTAAAGATTTTATGAGAATCGCCACTGAGTGTTAGGATGGATTTATTGATGGCACAAATACACAAACTTGGAAATATAAAACATGTCAGGAATCAAATGTCAATTATAACCTTGATAACATTTAAGTTTGGTCTTGCCCGTTATCTTTAAGTTAAAATGATTACCCTTATGATGTCACAACTTTACTTTATTGCATCACAATTTAGGGTTTCAAGATAGAGAATTTTAACACCCTGTAAGACCTGACCCATCAAAGAATAGCCAGAAAATTCTGATTTTTGGGAACCGAGATGTTTATTAACCCTTATAATAAAATCCACAAAAATATTTTTGCCATATCATGTTGTTTATGAGATATTTTTTGTATCACATTTTAGTAAGCATTATGTAGATTACATGTGTAATGACAATTTGGGGAAAATCATATTTTAAACCTGCAGTATCAAATTTGTTACAGACGATTTATTTGTAATATAAAGAATGAGTTAATAAATATGCATGTACTGTAGCAAATATGATACGAATGGCATTATAGGGTTTTAAAGTTGCTTTAAACTGGTGGTGGTGCTTTAAACTAGGGTAAAAGTTTTGGAATTGGGTGTTTCAAAGTAAGCCCTCGGGTTTCAAAATAGGGTTTTAAACTCGGGTTAGGGTTTCGAAGTTTTCTTATGAGGAATTGCTGTTAGGGTTTCAAATTTGGGCTTGAAACTAGGGGTTGGATTTGAGGTTGGGGTTTTAAACTATGTAGGGTTTTAAATTACCGTAAGCGTTTCAAGGTATGGTTTAAACCAGGATTAGGATCTGAAAGTTGGATCAAAAACGTTTCAAAGTAGAATTTTAAACTAGGGTTAGGGTTTCAAACCAAGAGGAGTACTGTATTTGAAATTAGGGTTAGTCATTTAAATAAGGTCTTTACATGAGGGTTAAGGTTTGAAATTAGGGATTTAAACTAGGGTTAGGGTTTCACAGTCAGATTTTAAACTAGTTGGGGTTTCAAAGTAGGATTTGAAACTCGTGGTTTTAAACTAGGGTTTGGTTTTCAAGGTAGGGATTGTAAACTAGGGTTAGGGTTTCACATAGGGTTAGGGTTTGAAATGAGGGTTTTAAAATAGGGTCACAGTTTCAAAGGAGTATATCAAATTTGGGTTGGGTTTCAAAAGAGGATTTCAGATTCAGGATTGGGTTTCAAGGTAGGGTTTTAACCAAGGTTTAGGGTTGCAGGATTCGGTTTCGAACTAGCATTAGGGTTTAAAACAAGGGTTAGTAGTTCAAAGTAGGATTTTAAACTCAGGTTACAAAGTAGGGATTTAAACTAGGGTTAGGATTTGAAATTCTGGTTTTGAACTACCCTTAGTTTCAAAATAGTTTTTTTTAAGTAGGGTAAGATTTTCAAAGCAAAAAAAATTTCTGGCGTCAGAATGAGCACATAAAATTGACAATTTTTAATTTTTTTTTAAATCAAAACGGAGTCAACACTCAATTTGATGCCTTTTTTTGATTTCAGCTTCATGGTTTGACCTTTTTGTATCCTGACTATAGAGGACAAAAATAAACGATCGGGGAGCCAAAAAAAAACTGCATTAAGGGTTTTCATCAAAAATTTATTAAAAACATAATTCACGGTGGCGACATTATTGTGTTGTGTTGTGGATCATATCGTCCTCATTGTCCTTCCCGCGCTCTTTCTCCATCTGTGGACACAAACAGCAAAGGAACACGTTCTTTTTGGAGACACAGTACGAGTACTTGTGCTCATTTGAGTACTTGGCAGTACCAATGCTCCAAAATGCCATCACTTCATGCAAGTGTGATGGAAATTTGTTTTTCCACCAACACAAAAGCCAAACTTGACCAAAGCTGCAATTGTGGCCTGAACATCCAACAATGCTGAGAAGGAGCAGAGGGTTACTCTCGCTCTCTCTCTCTCTCTCTCTCCCCTTCTCTCTCTCCCCCTTGCCTCTCTCACTTTCCCTCTCCCCCTCCCAATTTGATGTGAGTTTTCGTATGCTGTACCCTTACTAGGTGTGGGTAATAGAAGTTGAGGATGTTGGAGATGGCGAGGTAAAAGGCGGCCATCACAGACGACGCCACAACGGAGAAGAAGGCCAAGCCCGTCAGGGTGCACAGCAGACTCAAGGCGCCAACAAACAGCAGGAAGCCTAAACAGAAATTACATTCACAAAGACAAATTTAAAAATCTTGATCAAAACGACAGCAACAACAACAAAATAACAAATGCTACATTCAAAAACACCACCCACCTGCCTCCCCTAAAAAGCATGAATAAAAAAAAGGGGGGAAAAAAAAAGTTGCATGCCCCACCTCCAGGCCTGGCTCCAGAGGGGGGCCCCGGTGACCCGTGTGCAGGCAAGGGAAAACTGTATGCAATATTTTTATTCTTCATAAGGGGTCTGTGAGCCGTGCTTTGTCTGGTCCCTCACCTAGGATCTGTTTGACATGGGTGACCCTGCCAGGGGCATCAAGCCCCACACAACTTCGCTCCTAGGATCATTGGGACACACAAAGCCCTCCACCACCAGAAGGTGACAGCTCACGGAAGGGAGAAAATATATTTAAAACCCCCCAAAAAATCAAAAAATATTTTCAAAGAAAAATAAGAACAATGAGAGAATATATTCAACAGAAACAATATTTTTACATTGAAAAAAAAATACCGAGATGTTAATAAAATAACAATAAAATGTTGAGAAAAATAACAAATTGTAAAAGTATTAAAAATGCAAAATTCATTTAAAATAGTGTTACAGTTCCCACCAAAAAAAAGCTTAACAAAGTGAAATAAAATAATGTATTTAAAATAAATGAAATCAAAATGAAATTGACAAATTATAAAAAGTACATTTTAAAAAAACAAAAATTCAACAAAAATAAGCAAATATATTTGAAGGAAATTTAAGGATTTAAAATAAACACGAAAATGCCCAAATGAAAAAAAAGATGGAAAAACAAATCACATCAAATTTGAATTTAAAAAAAAAAAACACACACACAAACAGGTATGTAAAAATTTTTTTTTTTCAGCCGATGGCCACTTTTGTTACCTTCAAAGAAAAGAAAGCCGATAGCTGACATGATGATGGTGACCACAGCAAAAAGCACAAAGAGTCCAACGGGCACAGCGGCTGAGGCGCAGAAGAAGATGACAGCCAGCGCCACCACCGGGTGGCCGCTCAGGTACTGCGCCGCCCTCGAATTCATCAGCAGGCTCACCTGGTGGTCAGGTTCAAATGTCAACACCAACGACAAACAACTGTCAAGTGCTACACGTCACTTTGTTGCTTGGGAAGAATATCCAAAGTACTCGCTGCTGGCACTCAGGAGTGCAACTAAAAGCACTCCAACACTTTACTCAATTTTGGCCAATCAAACTGAGCCACGCCATCACATGACCATAGAAAAACAATTTTTCAAGTTGTCAAAGACTATTGCGCTGTTATCCAGCGGAAACAGATGCAGTTGATCAATTTTCCTGCATTTGTCATTTTATTACTATTATGTTTCAGCATGAGGGTGGCATGGTGGACAACTGGTTAGCAAGTTGGCTGCACAGTGCAGAGGTGGAGGGTTTGATTCCGGCTCCGGCCTCCCTGTGTGGAGTTTGCATGTTTTCCCCGTGCCTGGGTGGGTTTTCTCTGGGTACTCCAGTTCCCTCCCACATTCCAAAAACATGCACTGTAGGTGAATTAAACACTCTAAATTGTCCCTAAGGGTGAGTGTGAGCCCAGATGTTTGTTCGTCGGTGTGTGTGCCCTGCGATTAATCAGTATTTGAATATTTTTTTAACTGACTACTTACTTTACTTGAGTACAATTTTTGGCCAGTCTACCACATCGTGTTATTTAAGTACTAATGGTTACGATGTATGGGTGTGTGTGTGTGTGTGTGTGTGTGTGTGTGTGTGTGTGTGTGTGTGTGTGTGTGTGTGTGTGTGTGTGTGTGTGTGTGTGTGTATACTCCTTACCTTGGGGTTATTGTAGACTTGTTTGGACACTGAGCTCAAGTCTTCCCACATCGCACTGCCGCCGCTGCCGCTCGGTTGCATCGCCACGAGCAAACGCAACTTGTCAAATCCCAAAGCAAAACTTCCAATGCTGCCTGTCACCACTGGGGGCGGGGAGGAGGAAGCTAATTCAAAGTTACAACAAGCTCATAACGACCAATTGAACGTACTTGGAGGAAGTTGTCACATACACAGCTGAAGTTAAAAAAAAAACAACTTCCTTTAGCACGGCAAGTTGCACCAAAAGAATGTTGAGCACTCAAGTCGGAGCGCACCCTCTTATGCTCTTTCTTCTTCCTCCTCCTCCTTCTCTTTCCCTTTCCCCCTCCTCCGGCTTCCTCTGATTACAGTCGTAAAGGCCTTTGCTGCCATCTTCTGGATGCTGCTGGAAGGGTTTCAAACCGTGTTTGCAGGGGGCAGCACGCACCCAACATACGATGGGATATTGTTATTTCCTAGGAGGTTGAAGTGAACGCTTTAAATGTCTACATTTATAGACATATTTCCAGAAATGGACGACTTGTTCGTGTGGTACTGCTTTTGATACGGCTGTTGTTGTGCCCATTGTTCTTTTGTCTCTTCTCTGTTCGCATGTATCACCAATTATTAATAATAGCATAATGAAATGTATTTTGAGCCAATTGATTATTTCAGGGGTGTATGTGAAACTGGAAGCATGAATTAGTAGCTAAGAAGTAGCTCGAGGTTACTGCCCCCTGCTGTACAGCAAGTGTACTGTAGCAAAAAAGTCTTGCATGAACAATATTCTTTGACCTTTTGCATGCAAGATGGCACGAAAAAGGTCTCAATGAACACTTTTAGATTGTACACCCACTTTTAATACGTTGAAAACAAGCAATTTTTTTCCTCTTCTTATTTTAAGCGTAAATACAGTAGGTGTGCAATGTTAATTTCTCGTGTTGCTGTATTACCGTATTTTGTTATTTTATGTTACCGGTAACTGTTCTGCAAAGCGCTTTGTTCCACCTGCACCTGTTGTGAAATCGCTATATAAACAACGTTATTGTATTGTATATAAATATCAAAATTGCACAGATTAAAAAAGGTCAGTAAGTGAGACATTTTAGGGATTTTTCTCTCTCTCTCCCTCTCTCTCTCTCTCTCTCTCTCTCTCTGTCTCTCTCTCTCTCTCTCTCTCTCTCTCTCTCTCTCTGTCGCTCTCTCTTTCTTTCCGCGGCACAACAATCCGTCAACTCCCTTTACTGGGGCACTATTTGATGAAAATGGAACGTTCCTATAATGTGCGTCTCGCGCGCGCACCCGCACACGCACGCACGCACACGCCCAGACACTTCCACCTGCGTCGGCAAGATAAATGAGATTGTCTGCGAGCGTATTGACGGAACAATGTGTCAAGTGGCACGTGCGGAGCCGCTCAACACATTGCGCCCCCTACATGTGATGGATGGCTTGTCAGCCGATTCTAATTTGCACGGACTGATTGCAAGAATCCAATCAGCGTGACAGGAAGTGTGTGGGGATGGCATCAAATAGCCGCCAATCTCTCGCGCGTTTCTCTGTTCTGAGATCCTATCATGTGTTGCTTTATTGACGACGACCCCAACACTCAATTTATGAGAAAAATAAAAGGCCGCTGTTTTTTGTTCTTTTTTTGGGACTCAATCATCAACCTGTCGGAGTCTATCTCACGTCCTTCTCTGCTGTGTTTGAAAGTGCACAGAAAGGTTGGACGTGGAGCCGGGCCACGGGGGAACAATTGATGCTCCACATTGTCAGTAGTGGTCATTTTGATCAGTCAAAGTCGAGGGGAGGGATTTCACTTGCAATGTTTGTGGCTCAAAGAGAGCTCCCTGGGGAGCTGTAAAGGCCATTGCTGGTGGAGCTCACACAGGCACACTTTTGTGAAAACACTTTGGTCAGAAAGAACCCAGTATGAGTCAAAAATGCATCACTCCACTCGAGTCAATATGACAATTTTGGGTTGTTTTATACAAAATGACTCAATTTTTAAAAGAAAGAAACTTTGGTCAAATTGACCCAAGTAGTGGATAGGTCCATTATTTACCCAAATTGGGTTAAAAAAACAGACCCAACTGGTTTCAGACATTTAATTCTACACCCTTCTCACTGATGGGTTAAAAAACAAAACCAAAAAAAAAAAAACCGAAACACAAACAAGAACAAAATAAATTAAGTCAAAAATTGAACAGATCCACTACTTGGGACAATTTTACCCAGCTTTGGGCTATGAGTCAATTTGACCCAACTTTGGTTTGTTTTGTACAACGTAATCCAGAAAGTTGGGTCAAATTGACCTAAATAGCGTTTTGATCCAATTTTTGACCCTATTTGGACGACGCCAATTTTTTGAAAGTTTGGTCAAATTGATCTGATTAGTGGATGGGGCCCCCCCCCCCTTTTTCCCCAAGTTGGATTAATTTTGACCCAACTGTTTTTAAAGTGGAAAGAAATTCTACACCCTTCAAACTGATGGGTTCCGCCCCCCTCCCTACAAAAAAAAACATTTGGGTCATAATTTGGACCAACCCACTAATTGGATCAAATTGACCCCCCCCCGAAAAACGTTTTGTATGTAACAGCCCAGAAAATTGGGCCAAATTGACCCAAGTAGCCCTGTTTTAGTTGCGGCCAATCTTCATTTGTGGCCGCCTGCCACAGGTAAATGTGGGTGTGGGAAATTGCAGGTTCAAATGTCGTAGAGCCAATCAATGACGCCATCCATCTATTGATTCATATATTAAAGACATCATGTCCGATCAAAAAACGTGCAGAAAATGCAAAATCTCGCCAATCCAATCCATCCCATCAGTTGAGTGTAAAGTACAATCGCTACAATGAAAGATGCCAAAAAGCTTGAGCTTTCTGCCGTAACGTTCAAATGTTAACAGACAAGGCAAAGCGAGGCCACGATATTGAATGTGTGCTGAGCGTTCACTTGGAATGTTTCAACAGCCAGCAGCAGAAAAGTTTTTTCACTCTGCATCTTAAATCTTTGAGGCGTTCTTGAATAATGAAGCAGAATAGAATTTGTGCAGGTCACAGAGTTTAGAGTGGGGAGAAGGGGGCGGGGGGTTGGGGGGGGGAATTAAGCTTTTTATTGATGCTGCCAGTATTGTTTTGTTTTGTTTTTTTTAAGGCTGATGCAGATCTACAGACTGAGTGCTCTCGAGCAGGAAGGAGAAGAGTTATGTTTCTCTCTCATCAAGGACGCACGTAAGTCTGACCTTTTGGGCTGCAGGATGAGGAGGACACCCATGTTAAGAGGTTTGGAGAGTCTGCACGAGGAGCTCTTGTCCCGACTCAAATGGCGGTCTTCATCTTGTCTTTGCCCCCTCGTGTCCCTGAAATCACACTTTTGACTCTTTTATACTCTCTGTGTTGTCTTTTTCTTTTAACATGCCAAATTAGTGTCAACTGTTCTTACCCAACGGCGGCCCGATGGGCCAGTGGTTAGCAAGTTGACCTCACAGTGCAGAGGTACCGAGTTCCAGCTCCGGCCTCCCTGTGTGTGTTCTCCCCAGGCCTGCGTGGGTTTTCTCCGGGTATTCCGGTCTCCTCCCACAGACCAAAAACATGCATGGCAGGCTGATTGAACACTCGAAATTGTCTCTACGTGTGAGTGTGAGCGTGGATGGTTGTTCGTCTCTGTGTGCCCTGCGATTGGCTGGCAACCGGTTCCGGGTGTCTCCCGCCTACTGCCTGAAGACGGCTGCGATAGACTCCAGCACAACCTCGCGACCCTTGTGAGGATAAAGCAGATCAGAAAATGAATGAATGAATGAACATTCTTGCCCACCCTATTTATTGTTGGGCCAATGATGAGTACCGATTCGGTTATGGTGATCAGGGGCGGCAAGGGGTGTGGCAGCACTTTGAGTCCCAAACCAAAACAAAAAAGCGTACACAGACCCTCTTCAAGACAACATGGACTGTAGAGGAAGCACTTGATCAAGCACCGAATTATGAGCATTTTATTTGGGTGTTGCAATGATTTTCTTTCACTCTTGATATGTGTGCAGGCACTCCAGAGGCGTGACTAATTCAATATAGTCAATTTT